AAAAATGAAATGGAGGATAAAATACCCAAATACGGAAATTACTAACCGGACTAATAAACGCTTTAAGCACAGAAAACCGTACTGGAAGAGGAACTTGCAAACACTGTGGAACTCTATGCGTATCGCAGAAAAATGAATTCCTTAAATGCCGATCGGATAACCAAACAAAGGACGCGCCTGCGTGTTAACTATACAAATGCCAGAAATATATTGACAAATGCTTGAAGCAAACTGAACGGTTTTATAGGAAGGTCAAGGCACTCGACATCGAGGAAATGTCGACATCAAAAACCCTAACGAGTTTTGGCAAAAATTCAGCAACTTGGTCCGCGTAAAGACAAAAGTATTCCGGTTGAGATCGTGGATGGTAGCGGAAACACGATTAAGGAAGGAACATGTGGTTTTTGAGCGGTGGAGAAACGACTTCTACAACCTGTATAACTGCAATGAAAATAATGAATTCGATGAAATACATTATGATCGAGTGAAAATTCACAAATTGTTGCTCGAGAATGATATGAGTGACCCATTATACGAGTCAAACACAGAACTCAATTACAATATTACACCACAGGAAATAATGTGTATAGTGCAAAAAGCGAAAAGTGGATCAGCATGTGGGAATCGACGAGATCCCCTTATGATGTACTGAAAAATCCTGTGTTATAGAGACAATTCACCATCTATTTCAACCGTTATTTTTGACTGGGCAGTATTATACCCTCTGCGTGGCGAAAGGCAGTTATTTTGCCCAATACTGAAAGACCCTAATTCCTGATAAGCGTGTTCCCAATGCAAACTACCGCGGTATCAGTCTGTTGTGTTGTATTAGCAAACTGTACACATTCTTTCTTGAAACAAACGTACGTGTCTTACAGGTTATTTTGGAAAATAACGACATTCTCGCAGACGAGCAAAAACGGATTAGAAAGCAACGGTCATGTGAAGACCACGTGTTTTACGCTAAACAGTGTTTATACGGAACAATAAATCAGTGTTCACAGCCTTTATTGATCTTAAAAAATGTTTTGATTACATATAGATAGAGACATGCTACTATACAAACTGTTGATAAATAACATAGACGGCAAAACTGTATAACTCGATTAAAGAATATATACGCAAGCTTCAGTGTCGTGCATACGTATAAATAACAAAGCTTACAGACTGGTTCAGCTGCTTGTACAGGCGTGAAACAAGGCTGCAATTTGTCCCCGACATTGTTCTCCGTATTCGCTAATGATCTTGCACGTGAAATCAACGACCTTGACCTTGGAGTAACGATTGGTGACAGTAAACTTTTCCTTGTTAATGTACGCAGACGAATATTGTCTTAAAATGGCGGATAGTGAGGAGAAATTACAGTCCATGTTAGACACTGTTAGTAGCTGGTGCCAACGCTGGAGAGTACTTATCAATGCAGATAAATCTGAATGCTTGCATTTTCGCAAGGGCCGGGCAGCAACGAAACGATAGTGACTTTGAATTCAAAATCGGCAACAGTACTCTGGAAACAGTTGAAAAATACAAATACCTAGGGGTTATATTCCATGAAAAGAATGACTTTACTTTAAAACAGTGAATCTCTTGGTAAAGCAGCCGGTCGAGCTCTCGGTGGCATCATTAACAAGATACACAAAGTTGGAACCTGAAAGACTTTGGCTTCAAGTCATACGAAAAATTGTATCTCTCCTGTGTTGTGCCTATACTGGACTAATTGCCTCATCAGTATGGGGCTTAAGAAATATCAAGCAACAGACAATGTCCAAAACAGAGCCATGCGTACTTCCTTGGTGTCCATCGCTTCACGCCTATTTTTGCGATGGTTGGTGACACTGGGTGGATACCTAGTGTTCACAGACGATGGGGAAATATTCTGCGACTGTGGAATAGATTAATATTGATGGACGATTCGAGAATTACAAAGAAAGTGTTTAATATTGACTACGCTAAATGCAACAATAAATTGGTCTTCCGACATAAAACATGTTATGACTACACTTGGATTAATCTCAAAATACGACAATAGAACAGTTATCAACTTATCACATGCTTACGGTTTAATAGTGACCAAAATATTCAAATATTTGGTCAGAAGATGTCCAAACAGTGCCAAAACTAAGAACTTACCGAATATTTAAAGACAGCTTTAAATGCGAAGACTATGTATTGTTGAACTTGAACAAGAACGAAAGATCGATACTGTGTCAATTTAGAACTGGTATTCTACCGTTAAGAATTGAAACAGGACGTTACATTGGAGAACAGCCTGATCAGAGATTATGTAGACTTTGTACCTCGAATCGTGTAGAAGACGAGAAACACTTCCTTTTTCAGTGTGAACAGTATAAAGACTTGCGTGAAAATACGTTCAGAACTCTTTTTGATTTCGTTAACGATCCTCTCATTGACATGAATCAGAGACTATCTTATATTGTTTCAAACTACCCTAGAAAACTTGCAAAATTTCTTATATCCGCATACCTTAAAAGAAGAAGTATCTTGTTCTCTTAGTATTCAATTAACCTTGATAACTAATTTTGACTTAAACCATTATATACTTATAGTCTTGTATATGTAATTAAAATGAACCCATTTTGCAATGAATGTGTGTATAATATAATTATGTAATATTGTAATTCAAAGTTTTCTTTGTTTCACTATATGTCTGTGTCCGTACTATTATTGAAACCATACCTCTTTTTATATACATAAACACGATATATTTAACGCAAGTTCAGTAACGTAATATTGTTGTTATTCGAATATTAAATAGTGTGTGATCACTCTTTCACCAGTTCAGTAAACACAAATTTCTAAGTGATATAAACTTTCAAAAGTAAATTGTTTTCCAAATCCCAACCTTCTCAGTAACGAGTGTTGTATATGTAATTTAAATGTATATAATGCTATGTACTTGAATAATGTATATATATGTATTATTGATAATTACAATATTTGTAATATGTCGCCTAAATTATATATGTATAATAATAAGCACATTAATTGTAATATGTCGCTCAAAGTACCTTTTTACATAGTAACTAATGAGTTGTTGATATTTGATAACGTAAGAAAATATATTACCAGTATTTTGTACATGTACTTCAGATCATCCTATGTATAAAAGAAGTAACTTTGTTGAATTATGTAAATAATGACATCATTGATTTCCCGGTGACATATAGGCCCAAAGGGCCGGGTGCCTTTTCTTTCATCTGTATATTATGTATCTATGTCATTTATGCACATGTCACGATAATAAACTATATCTCATCTTATCTTATCTATTCACAATCTGTCATAATGTAAACATCAATCATATTACAAATACCAACCATATTATATCATTCTACTCATTTATCATCTAACATTATCCAAATATTATGATCTTACACCCTCAAATTAGCTACCATCTTACATCATCCATATATCTACCATCTAATATAATCCTAATATCAATTATATGACATAATCCGAATACCCACAATATTACATCGTTCAAACTATCATCATACTTCATCTTCCAAATATCCATCATCCAAATTTTTACAATTTATAACATCAAAATGTTTCACCATTTAATATCTTCCAAATATCAATCTCCTTACATCATCAAGATAGTAACCGTCTAATATCATCCAAATATCCACCATCTGACATCATCCAAATATCCACCAACTAGCATCATCTAAATATCCATCATCTACCTATATCTAAATAGCAACCATTTTACATCATCCTAATATCCGACATGTAATAACATCCATATATCAAACCTCCTCCATCATCAAAATATTCACCATCTAACATGATAATAATATCAACCATTTAACATGATCCAAATATCAATTATCTGCATCATCCAAATATCCGCCAGTATACATCATTCAATTAGCCAACATCTAACGTCTTCCAAATTTCAACCCTATAACACGATCCAAATATCAATTATTTTAAATCATCTATAAATCAAACATCTAAAATCATCAAAATAGCAACCATTTTACATATTGTTAATTTTAACCATTTTACATCACACAATCATCCTACATCATCCAAATGCCTAACATAGATGTCATCAAATATCCTCAAACTAGCATAATCCAAAAGTCCAACACCTTACACAATTCTAATATTCACCTTATTACATAATCTAAATATTTACCACCTTTCATCATTGAAATTTTTCCCACCTAACATCATCTTAACGTCTACCATTTAACATCACCCAAATATCCCAAATTTACTACCAAATAAATAGCATCATCTAAATATTCACTATTTAAATCGTCAAAGTATCCACCTTTAAACATCATCTAAATAGCTAGTCTTCCATTTCAATCATCCAAATATTCACCATCTACCATAATCCAAATACTCTCAATCTTATATCATACAAATATTCACCATCTAATATCATCGAAATATCCACTACAATGTGTATTACTTCATCTAATTATTCATCATATAACATCATATAACAATTCACTGTATTAAATAGTCCAAATGTCCACTTTTTTTTAACAAATAACCCTCTTTAATCATTCAAATAACCATTTTGTATTTATTTTAATAGCAACCATCGTACAATGTCCAAATAACCACAATGTACATCATCCTAATATTCATTATCTTAAATTATCCAAATATTCATCATCTAACATCTCTCCACTCAAATATTTACCGTATGACATCATCCAAATATTCACCATCTAACATTATCAATATTTTTACCATATTATCATTAAAATTATTCACCATCTAACACTATCAAAATATTCACCATTATAGCAACATCTAAATATCTATTAACTTCCACCGTCCAATTAACTACCATTGATTGATCTGAATAATTTCATATTATTTTCATCAAAAGATCAGTAACAAGTTATATAAAAACAATGTTTTAAAGAAATAATTGTTTATATCACCATTTTCTTATGTTTATAATCCTAAATTTCAACCTGATTGTGTTTGGTTTTGTTCAATAGATGCTGCTGTAACAGAGATAGGACAAAACAAGAAGAACGAAAATGGCACAGACGCAAGAAAATCGTGTCTACCTTTTTCGTTTACAAATTCTCATCATAGATGGAGGTCTCCTTGTTCTAAGAAATATAATTGACCAGACTCTTACTACTCAAGGCGTAACTCTAAGTGCTTGTTTGAATCAAGAAAGATCAACAATTACACGTTTGAAAAGCCGAGGCATCATAACACAGGAACAATATGATATATTGTTTCCAATAGGTGGACATGTCCCAACTACGTCAGAAATGGACCTTACGCTAATCATTTTTCTTCTAAGAAGCTTGAGGTGTTTTGGACTGAATAAGAAATTTGACTGGAAGGCAAAGCCTATATCAACCGATGTATCAATTGAGGCAGATATTTGTCGCTTGAAGGCTCATCGAAATGAAGTAAGTACGCTTTAAAAAGACATTATTATATGAAAGCTTTAATGTGATAGAAATTGACATTCTTTTACTGAAATACAAGTCAAATGATCTATAACCATATCTTATCAGGCCAAATCTGCATTGCTTTAAAGTCTATATCATATTATTTTTAATTGAGTACAAATACATTTACCAGAATATCAACGTGCTTTTATATAATTGTATCCTTTGTAATTTTCATTGATTTATTTCAAACTCTTTCCATGTGTTGTACTCTCGTAATTACAGAATACCATTTATATAACGGAAATTACACTTACAAAAATATTTGAGTGAAACTGCCTCTACTTTTTATCTAAGCGATAGTTGAAATACAAAATTTGAAGTGAAGTTAGCACGACACTGCAATACTTCAATATTATTTCATTTTGATAAGTCATATTTGAAACCATTTTTCAATTTCCCTATGGTAAAATAATTCTTGAAACAAAATGATCCCTCGGAAGCATTAATCACAACAAAATAAAAAGAGAATGGCAGACTCGGTTTGATTGAGTCTGTACATGAGGGATAATGAAAATGTGCAACATCCCTCCCCCTCTAGCACCGGGCTGAGCGGAGCGGTACTCAATTCTCAGCAATCGATAGTGCTGGCATCAATGATCCCAAAGGACCAGAAAAATATAACAACACTGAAAATGTCATGTTTGAAACTGTCAATTCCTTCAAAACACAGGAGCTTGCATTGTTTTGTGTTTTCACTTAAACACGGGTTATTTGATTTTTTCCAGATAAGCCATAAAGTACAAACGACTGATATACAAGCAAATGACTTTGTAACTTTGTGGAATGACATCGAGCAGGTAACCACATAGCATTTGCAATAATTTATATGGATTGTCCACTAAAAACCCTTTGACAATTTTCCCATAGAGTAATATACAGTATACTATTTAAAATATTTTCAAGTACATCTTTGAGTAAAAAGAGAAATACAGAACCACATGCAATTAGTTTAACACAATATTACGCTCAAATTTGGTATTATAAAATATTGTTAACTGCGATCAAGTCTCTTTTTTAAAACCAAATAACCATATTGATTGTTCAAAGAAGTACAAAATGAGAATACATTATAAGTTTTTAACTCTTCGCAGTTTAATTTTTAAGAACGTACCAAATTAATTTGACAATTAATAGAGAATATAGCCACAAAAACATAATTTGTGCTTTCTCTTATTCAGATTTATCACTTTCAGAATGAACTTCCTAGGTTCAAATCAACTTCTGCAACTATTTGTTTTTTTACTAAAAAATAAGCATGTCTTAAAGGTACTAGGCCCTTAATGGAAATTTTAGTATTTGTTTTCAAAGGGCAATAATTTTAGTAGGACAGATATTTCTTTTGAAATTTGAACAATTAAGAAACTAATGATTTAAACGAACGGATGAAACAGCTTTTAGTGATATGAACCCGAAAGTATGCTTTTTCTCTATATGATTACTTTTAAGGGTAGGAAACTCAAAGCTGTAAGAAGGAAATTCAGATCAATATTCATTCCTTAATTGCTTTTGTTTATTTACTCCCTTTCATGGTGTAAAACATTTCTGAAATTATATGAAACAAATTTTATCATATTGTTGCTAATGCTTATCTCCATCTTTGAAAAACAATGTGGTATCTTTTCTCATTGAATCGTAGCGAAATATATTGATATATGTTTTAAACTTTGCACTATACAATGTTCATGGTAAATCTCTTCACAAAATAAAAGTTTCCTTTTCTGCTTGAATTAATTTTGCAAATATCACCAATCAAATTAGCGGGCTTTTTTATCAATGCTGGTTACAATCCAGTGATAAAGGTCTGAGGCATTTGCATACTTGCTATCAACGTTATCAATAAAATCATTCTTCCTCTATTTGAGGAAAGACTTAACGTTCCAATCGAGTACAATTGAGTGCTATATTTCATTCATATTTGCATTTGCGTGTGTTTGCTTTCCGATTTATATCAGTTTTAATTAAACTGTATTCGTTGCATTAGTCATAAGTTTATTCTCACCAGCTTCCGGTCACACGACTAACCGAAATACCGAAACACTACCGAAATACCGGAATAACCCTGGAATACCCGATAATAGATATAAGAAAGTCAAAATGCCTATTAATGATAGATTAAAGAAGTCGTTACACTCCCGATATTTCCATGGAGCCGGAATACCGCAGGTTTAAACCAAAATAACATCTATTTGTTGCTTTGAAATCGTGTTTTAAAACAGACTGTTGTCTGGAAAACCCAATCTCTCCAAATCCTTGTACGACCTAGAAAAAGGGACAATTCAAACGACTGAGAAGTGTTTCATTACAAACCGGCGGAGACTCACGGACAATTTGAAAAGACGAAAACTGTTATAATTTGGAATTTAAAATTGCAGATACAGACAACATATTTTTTGTCTTTGTTAATAACTCAAAAAAAGAAAATAATATCAATAATAAAAAGAACGGCAAATTATACAATACACACTGACAATTAGGTTAATACGAGAATTATGACACAAAGTATTTAATTGAGTGATTATTGATTAATTTCACCTCATTATTACTATCAGGTATTTCGACTTTTTTATATCTGTTATCGGGTATTCCGGGGGAGGGGGTATTCCGGTATTTCGGCAGTGTTTCCGTATTTCGGTTAGTCGTGTGAGGATCTTATAATCAAAGTTGATATTTTCTCTTTAATATCCGTTTTAGATACTTGTTCGACTAAGTTCTCCAGCTCTGAATATTCAGCAAACATTTGCCGATTACAAAACCTGCCCTCTAGATCCAAAAGAAGAGAAAAGGGTTCAAGAAGAAATAAAAAAGTGGAAGGACTGTGAAGCCGATTTTGATCGACTAAAAGAAGAGATGACAGATGTAAAAGTAAGGGTTACTGAAGAAGAGAAAAATCAAGAGGAGATCAAAAGACGACTAGATGAAGGTCTGCTATTTGATATATTTTGATCATATTTAACAACAAAAGATGATTCTTTACCATTCAATATGTAGAATGATAATGTTTAGGAGTACATATTTCAACATATGACTAATGAGCTTAATGAAATAAAGAATCATACTATTCAATTCTGAGATATATTGTATTGTGATGAGAAATCAATGAGGAAAACACACAAGAAAAATAGCTAATTACACACAGCTTGGTTATGTCTCTGTACATTACTAGCAAGCTTTAAAGCAAAGCGGAATAATACAATTTTAAATAGCCACTGGTTTCTTTACGTATTACATTAACCTTTAATATAATCGATTATTAATCGTGTTAATGACGTACGTGACATCGGAATTTACAAATGACCATTCTTCAATAAATTATAAAAAACAGTTTACGGAAAATTAAACAAGTGCTTGTCTACTACTACCGCTAACTACAAATGCTTTTAAACGCACAAGATTTAAACACCATATTTCATCTATAAAACTGTAAATTTCTTCCAAAAATAAATAACAATTGATACGGGGAATATTGTTGTTGTTTTTTTTAAGATAGTGAATGTGTTTTTTTTATAAAATCTAGTTTCAGACGAATAGATGATAGATAATGCATGTATAATAAACAATTATAAGGACATATACTGATTTCATTCGTACCTATTTGATTACAGATAAAAATAATGAAGGTGTCTCCTCTATGCTGACAGAGGAGGATAAATATCAAAAACGCAAAAAGGGTAAGTAAATAATAACATACTTCCTTATTAAACACTCAAACAATAAGGGTTAGTAGATATTGATTAACCTCTTTATTAAACAAGAAGTGTAAGAATATATTCATGTATACTGTACCTGTATATATAGCCAGAAATGTAAGTAAATAATTGTTTACCTCTTTATTTAGCCAGAAGTGAAAAGTTAAATATTTTGCTTCTATATTAAGCAAGAATTATAAGAAAATATCGGTGTACTTCAATATTAAGTCTGAAGCGAAAGAACATAATTCGCATAAAACGCAGTTCTATGAAGCACTATGAAAAATAGAAAGCGACTATAAACGAATTTAACCTACTAATGTCCAGAACATAACTATATAACTAACTGCATATACATTGTATATAAAATGTTTAAAATTGATAACTTCAGGATGTTATCCTTTCTCTGTTTCAATATTATGGACATGAACACCTATATGCATAGCTTTAATTTTCTAACTTTCATTTTTACGAAAGGTTACTTAATTAACAATTAATATAGAAAATAATAATTAGTTTAACACAGTGATTAGAAGATTCCTGTAGCAGAATACCTGTAGGTATGTACTAACTGAACAAACTAGAAAGTCCAGTCTAAGGTATATAAAGCCAGTAAAAAAATATATATCAATATTCACTCCTCAGGGCCTCTATGCCTTTGATGACCTTACAATTGGTAAATTTTATACAACAAAAATAGTAAGTAATACCTAAGATAGACAGAAAAGGACAAATATTTTTGTTAACATGAGTTACTTCCCCTTAAAATAAAGAAAACCTGAAACCCAAAAGAAAACCCTAAACAGCAAAAGTATGAAAATTTGCAGGATCAGTTTTATTAAGCCATGCAAAGTAATGGTTTTCATAATAAGTTAGATGGCCATATGACAGCAGTTATTGCAGAAAATCGGATAGCTTTCAAAATTCGATACGGGTACACTTTGTAAAAACAATCATTCTGTGCAATAGATAAACGTAATAAGGATAAAATCAATAGGCTAATCGTGTACAACATATCCAGTACCAATCTTAATACTCATTTGCAGGTGGACGAACATTTTGAAAATATATAAATGAATGAAAAAGAATTCGGCACCAATTAGACCACAACGATATCCGAAACCCGGGTTTTAGTATTGCCAATAAAGCTTAGGGACAAGCTGTTAAACTGAGCCTGCAAATTCGTGAAAATAATATCACAATGCACATGCTTTTTACATAAAGCTATTAGATACAAATATAACAATATATTAGTTTACTTGATTTTTACGAATCAAAATAAAACTTATTAACACAACATGACATTAACTGCTAATAATAACAGCTCCTTCCATAGGCCAAAATAAAAGGCATTCCATAAGAAAAGACGCCGCTCAACGGCGTCGCCATTGAAATTCATCCTCAATTATTAGCTTATCACACAGTTCACATATTCTATTTTTCCTCTCAATATTTCTTTGTCTTCCATATTCGATATTCAGACAATGCGACGGCATTCTTATTTTTGATATTATTTGTCTATGTTTGAAATTATTTATTTTCATAAGATACACAGATAACTGTAGACCCTTTTTCAGTTCTATAAACAAAGTCAAATTTGGCTATTATCCATTCGAATTCTACATTGTGTAATAAAATTGTCAATCAGTTTAGTTTTTAGAACGTGTAAAATACAATTGTATTAACAGATGTTGGAAATAGCCAAACCTCAGCTAACCCTAATTGAGTCAGTAACATTTTAATATTATATAACTAATTTTTTCACCATTTTGACAATCCAACAACAGTTGTTTTTATACAGATTCTCTGTAATTCAATTTTCACTTTTTAACCAGTATTTTACAATACGTATTTTCCAATAATATTTACATGCATTGGAAATCGGCCTGTTTCAAAATAACCAGCAGCATTACAAGTTGACAATTTAACATTTAACAGTCTCTTTGGGACTTTGCCCATGAAGTCTCTGAAGACATTCTGCATTAATAAATCCCCATATTTAACATGATTAACATAATAAAGATGCAACATATGCGTCAAATAAATTGAGTTTAATTTTCACCGGTGTTTCCATAACCTTCGTTATCGTATGCAGGGAGTTTACAGCTTTCAACGCTTTGCCTGACAGAGTGTTTATACCACGTTTGAATAGGCCATTACCTGAAACCACAAATCTTAGGTAAATAAAACTGTCAACCATCTATTAATCCTGCCCGAAGTATGTCCAGTGTTCCTTTGAATGCAATTGCCGTCTCTTTTTTAAATACAATGAATTTCGTTGTGTTCGTAGTTACCGTTAATTTCCAACGCCTACAATAGTCATTTATTAAATCTAAATGCGATTGAAATCCTTTTGGCGTATCACTGAATAAAATCACATCGGCAAATAAAATAAGGTAAATGCATACATTATCCAAGTTTACACATGAGGTAATATTTGACTGTTAATAGATTTCAAGGTATTTTCCACGAAATCGTCGAGAACAAATTCATCTGAAAAATTCACGAATTGCTCTCTGAACTCCGGATTTCCTTTGTAATATGTATTCCGACGCTTATTTGTTAAGTTATTTTGATGATACACTTGATGATCCAAATAAAACAGGGGCGTGATTGAGGCAATCGAAATTACTATGTTCGTAAAAATCAACAATATATTCAAAGTTCAAATAGCGGGACAATACTAGATCAATCATGCTTTCTTCGTTAGATATCATACACGTCATATTTCCGTTATCACCGATTGACCCTGATCTCCCGTTAACCAAGCAGATATTTACCGCTTTACACCAATCAAGGATCAAATCCCCGAAACGGTATTTTTTATAGTCCATTGAGCCTATGAGACATGGGGTATCGTTTAAGATTTTATTTAGGTTTAAGTCTGTGAGTGATTCATTTTCTATAAAATCACACTTCTGCCCGACTCTACTATTTGTGTCTTCAGCTAAAATACGCGTCCATTTTGTGAAAATTGTGTTATATCATATCCTGCTTTCGTTTTTAGAATATATCAACATTATAAATATCATGTATAGGGTAATTTTCAGGGGCAATATAAACTGAAGCAACATACGAGTTATCATCCGTTTTGAAATTTTTTTTATCAAGTTTAATCCATCCAAGACAATCAACTTGATTCTCTACTAGTGTTGTTCAATTTTGCAATGATTCCTTCACATATAAAATCAATGCGCCACTCGCCCGTCTAGCTCGTCTATTTTGGAACTTTCTATCCGAAAGGAACACTACATATCATTCAATGTCTATACAAAATTTCGCTGTTGTCCATGTTTTTGTTTTCCTTCTACAATCCATGAAAGCACCTTTACCATACTCTCTTGTAGCTCCGATTGTTCACTTCCGGTACCATTTGGCATCTTCTTAACATCGTCCACTACAATGTCTGTCGTATTTCAGATATGCCATTTTGCCCGCTTTCCTAGCTTTTTTTTTCATTTCCGGAACCAAATCTTTACGTAGTTCCTGAATATCTTTGGGAAACTGTTGATTAACGCCCATCTCCTTACCATTTAGATTTCTGCAAGACACCATAACTTTTTCTCTGTCATCAAAAGATGTAAATAAAGACCAATCACGCTAAACATATCTGTTACATCTGTATTCGTAACCGGAAGTTTGGTTCATACGAGCAATTAAGCAAATAAAGGGTATTAAACGGGTATTTTTCTCGGGTACTGGTTTCTAGCACACCCTTAAAAAAGATGGCCAATTAAAAATTCTCAAAATGTAGCGTTGTTTTATTAATATTGACTTTTGATTTATATGAAATTGCAAGACGATCACGTTCCTCTCCTCCAAAAATGCAATAATGCTAAAATGATGGTGATGATAAGTTGTAGTATGTATATTGCGATGATGACGATGATTATGTTGACTATAATGATGATTGTTATAATGAGGTTATAATAATAATAATAATGATAATAATAATAATAAAATAATAATAATAATAATCTTCATCATCATCATAATCATAATAATAATAAAAATGATGATGATTATTAACATCCACAACATGACATAATGTAAATGTTTCGACTAACAAATTGATCATGCAAATATGTCACTTATTTTACGGTCACCTTAATCGCATGTGTGAATATATTACAGAATATAACATCTTATTAGACATTTGCGACATAATGTCGGGAACGATTATCAAGGATCAGGTACGCTAATATTGAGGAGTCATCTCAACACATATTATGAACACTCGAAATATGGCCAGGATATTTTAGTTTGTTTCTTTCCTTACATCTTAAATTTTATTTTAAAACTACAGGACACACTGATGCCACGTCCCTATGAAAATTAGAAACTTTTCTTATAAGCTCAGCCAATGGTCGTTTGCGATGACTGTTTTGTCTTTTGCATCAAAAGTTTAGTCTATTGATGATGGCGACAAAACGTTTGGCAGCTTGAGCACTGATATCTTGTCGTCTTGACTATAGTCTCGGTTGTGCAGTTCACGTGGGACTGGAATGGTTCAAGTTGTCTCTGGACTAGGCTGGAGCGAAGCTGATTGTCAATTTTTCATGTTGGCCCGCATTTGTGAAAAAATTATCGGAGCTTGACCTAGCCATTACTGCTGCATGTGAGCCGCTTCAGTCTGGCCTTGGTTTAGATGCCAAGTCCTTTCAATAAGAACTGCACCTAGCTTGTTGTTTGTTTTTATTTTTTTCGTCACTAAATCCTTATCTCAAAAGACGTCTTTCAAGACGATGTACGGCCTTAAGCGCTGCAATAATATTGAAAAGTGAAATTTAAACGGAGTGAGTTACTATATCAGTGTTTAACGCGATATTTATACATCAAAACAGCAGGTGTCAAGTGCAATGTTGCAGCGTAAATAGTGCCCCGTACTTCACATCAGCGTTGCAATATTTGTCTGGTCCTTTCGTACAATTGATTCCAGTACTTTTAAGTTTTGAGAGTTGGGTCGCGCTTAAGCCGGTACTAGGGGGCG